CCTAGAGGAGATCAACCCAGACTGCTCTTTAGAAGGCCAGATACTGAAGATGAAACTCAAATACTTTGGCCACCTAATGAGAAGGAAGGGCTCACTGGAGAAGACCCTAATGCTGGGAACGATTGACAGCAAAAGAAGAAGTGGACGACAGAGGCTGAGGTGGCTAGATGGAGTCCCTGAAGCAGTTGGTGTGAGCCTAGGTGGACCCCGGTGGATGATGGAGGACAGGAGAGCCTGGAGGAATATTGTCCATGGGGTTGTGATAGGTCAGACACGACTTCGTGACTAACATAACATGACAGTGATGACAGATTATTGGATCCACCTCCTCAGGAGGCTGGAGTTTTCCATCCAGAGACTCCATTTAGAGACTCTCCATCTCTAAATTTTCTCCCTCAAGATGTTGCTCTTTCTCATTCCCTCAGGCAGATTGACTGGCCCCCTCAGCTGCCCTTGTGCTAATCTCTTCCATAGCAGGCACAGGCAGATACCCAGGGCCTTGGATTGCCGCTGGAATAGGGTCCATTTCAGCAGTCACCCTGTTATTTGAGTCTGAACTGCCAGTCCTGCAGAACAGGCATCCTGTCCTGCACACATCTCATACTCAGATTCTGAACTTTCTGTCCAGCCAAAATGGTTAGTCTCTCGTGTGCACCCCAGAGGTTTGCCAGAAAGTACATGCACGGCATCTAAGTTGTTGTCAAAGGAGGAATCAGTTCCTTCATAATTCACAAACTCCAGTCAAACTCCTTTCCACCATTTAAAAAGCAAGGAATGCAAGAGAATCCATAGTATGAAACTTCGCTTTAGTGACAGTGAAGCTACAGTTTCTAAATGTACTCGCCTCATAAGTATTTAAAACAACTTTCAGTTTGCAGCATGTTGAGAATCAGGACAGGCAGATGTGATGGGCATCACTTTTATAGACTTGAATATTTAGCTAAGGCGAGCAGCTCAGTTTTCTGGCCTTTTACATTTGCCCCAATATGCTATGTGAACTTGAGTCCCAAGGAGAGTTTTATTTAAACAAATATGTGTGTCACTGAATCAGAGTTTAATTCTTGACTCATGGATCTGTACAGTGTTGTTATTTTAAGGTTATTTTAGATGTGCATACATGGATGGGATATACACACAGGTTTGTTTTGGAGGGAGCTTCTTTTGCCCTGGTTTTATTGCAGAACACAGGCTGTTACAAAATTAACATGAAGGGGTTTAGACAGAAATGGTGAAAGGGAGTGTTTAGCAATGGCCCATGTCTCCCATGGAGATTAGTTTAGTTCTGTGTGTGTTTAGTCCATAGAATGTGCAGAGAGAAATGGAAAAAAATCCTGTTGGCAGCTTTATGTATGTGTGTTTTACAGTGCAGTCATATACTTGGCTATTCAGAGAAAAGTACTTTTGAGTCGCCAGGATCTGCCCCTAGATAAGTCCCCATAGGAGTACAGTTTCAGCGTTGTGATTTGTGATTGGCTAGTAATCTGCTATGCCTGTTTGTCTGTATATTTAAAATAGTTGCACCAGCGGTGCTCCCCAGATACTGTTGGACTTCAGCTCCTTTCACTGACCAACCCAATTATTTCCTCCTCTTTCACTCACCAAGGTATACAATGTAATTTATACAATGATAAATACAAGTAACCTGATAAATTAGTGAATGATGAACATGGTTAGCCTGCGTGCAACCAATAATCCACAAAATTCTGTGCAGAATGCACCATTCATCAGTGAAACCTAAAGACTTTCAAAACAGAATAGCGAGTTAAGCTGAAACTGCACCACCATTTTATTTGTTTGAAATGCTGCCTGCACAGTTCTCAATCCTCACTTGCATCTCCCCCTCTGTTCCTTTCTCTTCTAGTCCTCAGGCTGTGAGATCTTACCTTAAAGTAACACATGCTTTCTTAAAGCACACCTCTCCGTATGACAATATGCAGAGATAAATTTGTATTCTGTGTATTTTACAAACAACTGATGGAAATGGTAGATGGGTGGAAAAATTCAGTGTGCTCTTTTGTACCAAGGACAAATTTCAGTGTTGGGAATGGAGAGGGAAATATCCACTGTTGGCTGTGAGTTCCCTTCCTCTTTCTTGAACCCTGTATGATGTCTGAAATTGGCCTGTTATGTTTACCCGGTCTAGACAGCAAGCAGGTCCTGGGCCATATGCAGCAGGCTGAGTATTGTGGCCCATCTGCTGCTTGACAAATTCCATAACGATGTATCATAAAAACCAGAGTAAAGAATTATCAAGCATCTGGCATGCTGGAATCTCCTGCAGCCCAATTTAGATAGTTGAAGCTTTCCATTCAGGGAGCCCATCCAAGAACAGATGAATATTTTCACTAACCTGCTAAATTTTAAATCGAATGGTATTAAATATACCATAGAATATCCCAATAAGTTTTTGGTGGGTCACCGAATCACAATCCCAAGAGCTGCAAATCTCCATTCTCATGGAGGAATCTTTTCCAAAATCAATTCCTGCTGATTTCTTTTCCAATTTCCTTGTTTTTGCATTCTTTACCCTAACCCCATTGTCTTTCTCATGGTGTGCTTTCCTATGGCTTCTAACTTGTTTTCTCATCTTTGATTTTCTTGGGTGGACTTTGGGGGATGGTGGACAGGAGAGCCTGGAGGAATGTTTTCCATGGGATCATAAAGAGTGGAATGTGAGTTCACCACTAAACAAAAAACAAAGCAGGAAATGCTAGGATCTCTTTCCTTTTATCACCTTTAACATCCACTACCTCCTGGCCTTTTCATCATCATTTGCACGATCATTTACAGGTCTCTCTCCATGCTTGTTTTCTGACTATAGAAAAGGCAGGCAAGTGACACTGGCATCAAAAAGTTGTAGTATAAAGTGCTGCCAACCAGCTGTGCCTTTGTGAGGATATTCCATTGTACCCACTCCTGATTTTTTCCCCTTCCCCAACAGAAAAATTATGAATGCTCAGCAGGTTGTTTTTGTGTTTCCCCACTTTGGGTTTCTTCTGTATTTTGGGTACTTTTGTAAACATTGGGATTTCCCCAAGCCATTTTTTACCACTTCCTTGTGCATAGATAGTAGTTTTTGGCTACACAAGGATTGCTAAATAATACATAAGATACTCAGCATTACTCAGAGATGTCTGTAGCTGCACTAGGGAATAATTGGTTGGAATACCTTGCAAATTGTGAATTTAATAGCATTTAACAGGCTAGGCCAGGTACTTAATTTTAAAAGGAAGACAGGGTTCCAACAAATACCTTTCTTTTTTTTTTCCAAAAAGAGATTAAAAATGGCAACTCAGTGACTAAAGTTGCTTCATATTTGCCCAACATGGCCCTTCCAAAAGGCCCAACTGCATAGCAACACACAAACATATTGCAATCCAAGAGGTGTGTGTGTGTGTGTGTGTGTAGAGGAAAAGGCAGTTTCTGGAGTGGAGGCAGATTGGGAATGAAGAGCTCTAAGAGGGAGAACGTGTTCAGACTTCTCCCATTTGCTATTTCCAAGTGGTTCTTGAGCAACTTCCTCTTCCATGGGTTTTCAGGAGCATGGGAAACCTAACGGGGAAATCTGCTGCAAGAGTTTGGAGTGGGAATACCATATGGGAAGAAAGATTCCTCCCCCCGCCCTTTTAACCATCTCTCTGGAAACAGCATCTCCCTTACAAAAGAAAAGGGGGATTTCGTGGCACTTCCGTACTCACTTGTAACAGGCAACCTGCAACCAGCACACTTGCAAGCTTTCACTTGCTTTGCTTATTTCTGTATTGGAAAACAGATGACTTATCTTATTGCCCTTTTTCACTCTGCATGTCTGTATTTTAGAATCTTATTTTGTGACTAGATAGCATTTGTTATCTAACTTAAAATGCAAGATTATACAGAAAAAAAATCCCTACTACCCCTAAAGATACTGAAAGTTTTAGACCTTCCTTTCTGCCTAAATAAGAGTGGGATTGCACCCTTAAGTTTTCAAAGAATTTTAATATGGAATGATTCATATGGGTATACTTCAACATTTCTCTTCCACCCCCGCTAAAGAGTTTCTACAGTAAATTCAAGAATGCAGCTACCAGCTCCATTGTGTCTGTCACTCAGACTAGACTTTCATGTGTTGAGTAATTTTGCAGTTTTTTAAAAGAGGAGGCGGAAGCAATACTCTCAAATACATCTCGCGCTGTTAAATTAACTCAGTAATAAAAATCACGATGAAGCACCCTTTTCAGTCTAGAAAAAACTTACTTCCTCCCAACCAAGTCTTGAGAAACAAAGCCAGTTGTTGTTGGCTTCCTCTTTTACTAGATGTGGCTGCAGACCTATAGCTACATGGATGACAGGCTTTATCCAAGCTGTTACTACTAAATTTGCTTTGCTTTGCCACAATATATGCAAATATGTATTTGTTTGTTTTATACTCTGCCTTCCTCCCTCACCCCCATGCTCAATGTAGCTAGCAGTCATAAGAAGAAAAGCATTAAAAAATTAAAATTAATTTGGTTAGGGTTTAACATAACATAAAACAAATATTTAAATCGCCACAACAATAAAGGAATAAAAACAGCATCCGAGGCAACAAATTGGGTTACCTGCTGGCAGAAGGACAGTGGAGAAGGAGCTAGCCTAGCTTCCTTGGGCAGAGAGTTCCACAGTGTGGGAAGGCCTGCTCTCACATTCCCACCAGTGCTTCTCCACTGGCCATAGAAGAGTCAGCCCCAAAGATCTGAAGTAGTATTCACTCAACCATGAAAACCAAAACAGAAAGAGCTCCTTCAGATCAACCCATCCAGTATGTGTCCCGTGAGATTTTGGCTCATCATGTGGCGCAGCAGACTGCTGTTTGGCAAAACAGAATTGGAAAGCCCCCCCTTGGGTATGTGGGATTGCACAGTTCCACAGACCCTGGCTCCATCTTAGAGTAAGCTACAGTGCTAAGATGAATTCATTTTCTGGATCATTATAGCCACTTCAAAAATGTATTTCAGCAAATTTTTGTCCCTTTCTTCTAGACTCTACCTCAGCTATAGAAGAAGTGAAAGATGTGATATCTAAAGTTGCACTAATAAGCCTTGTCCCATTGCTTGTGATTGCAATTGCTGTGAGCCTTATCTTTTACTGCTACCGCATTCAGAGGAGAAGGAAGCTCAACAAGGCATGGGAGAAAAATGTCAAGTCCAGGAAACATAAAGATTGTAGCGATGTTTGTGCCATTATGCTAGATGATGACCGTTCTGACATCAGTTCCACCTGCGCCAATAACATTAACCATAACACTGAACTGCTGCCTATTGAGTTGGATGCCCTTGTGGGCAAAGGGCGATTTGCTGAAGTTTATAAAGCTAAACTGAAACAAAACACATCAGAGCAGTTTGAAACAGTGGCCGTTAAGATCTTCACCTATGAAGAATATGCCTCCTGGAAGACTGAGAAAGATATCTTCTCCGACATAAACCTGAAGCATGAAAACATTCTTCAGTTCCTCACAGCGGAGGAGCGCAAGACAGATCTGGGAAAGCAGTACTGGCTGATCACTGCCTTCCACTCAAGGGGTAACTTGCAGGAATATCTTATTAAGCACATCATCAGCTGGGAGGACCTCTGGAAGCTGGGTGGATCTTTGGCTCGAGGGATCGCCCATCTTCACAGTGACCATACACCTTGTGGACGACCCAAAACACCTATTGTCCACAGAGATCTAAAGAGCTCCAATATTCTGGTGAAAAATGATTTAACCTGCTGCCTCTGTGACTTCGGCCTGTCTCTGCGTCTGGATCCTACGCTGTCTGTAGATGATTTGGCCAACAGCGGGCAGGTAAGCTGAGGCATGGGAAGTAGTAAAGAGAAGAAAAGATAGGGGATTTGAACGAAGATGAAGCAAAATGCCTACTCTTTTAGTGGGTTGGATGTGCTCACAGGGAGGGCTTGATGAGGACATGAGGTGCACAGCAACCCTAGGATAGGCATGGTGGGCACCTCTGTTCACAAGGGCTGGGGCATCCTTTGTCCAGTAGAAGACAGGCTTTGCCTCCTCTACATAATGTCCCCTTTATATAAATGGATGGCAGCAGTTCCCATTTATGAGAGAGAAGGTGGGGAGGAAACTTTGAGATTAAACCATAGGTGGTGATCAAGCCATCTACCTGCCCCAGGTGACTGCTCCATTGGAAAGCAAGCTTACTCCTTTATGTCTGCTGATGGTTCTTCATCTGCACAGCTGCAAGCTCATGATGATGGTGACTTTGTGGATTTTTTAAATAAATAAAGATGTATAGATAGATTCTAAGGGAGGGATGGTGGTTATGTACAGCTGTATTATGTGGGCTTTCAAAATATTTTTTTTCATTGCTGTTTTATGACTGCTGATAGGTTGGCACAGCAAGGTACATGGCTCCTGAAGTCCTGGAATCCAGAATGAACTTGGATAATGTTGAATCCTTCAAGCAGACTGATGTGTATTCCATGGCCTTGGTTCTGTGGGAAATGACATCCCGCTGCAATGGTGTTGGAGGTATGTGTGAAATGCTATGTTAGATATTCATGGTGGAGGGTTATATGCACACGCACACAGAGACAATATGTCAGATGTGATTAAATACTAGTACTCTAGAGTTTGTAGAAGAGGCATTTCTATTTATTATTGATTTATTACATTCAAAACTTCTAGGTTCTTCAAGGAGGTCAGAGCAATTTACAGTACAGGTCACAGGTGGGCTCCCAGGCATGCAGTGTCCCAGGCTGGTGAGATCTGCTTAATTTCAGGAGCAGAACTGTGCCGTCATCCCTTGTGCATTCAGACTGTGTCCTTAACTACGTTTCCCCTAGCTGGCACTTTCCAGAGGAGTTGGATGCACCCATGGCCAATGGGAGCTGTTGTAGCCCAGCACCTCTGGAGGACACAGGTTGGGGAAACCTGTCCTAAATTGTTCTGCCTAACTTTTAAAACTTTTTGCTAGTGGTCCTGATGTCATTGTGGTTGATGCACATAGCCAGAACCTATTATACACACCTCTGACTTTGGATGCTAAAGAAGCATGTATGGCATGAGGCAGGTCTCATCAGGGAGTGCACTAGCTGTGGTCTCTCCTGTTCAGTGACAGCCTTACATGCTTTGTAACATCCAGGCTAGGCTACCACATCGCCTTAGGTGTGGGACTGCCCTGAAGATTCAGCTGGATAAGAACAAGGCAGCTAAACTGGGATCAGTCACCCTGAATCTATGAGGGCCTGCGTCAATTTCCAGTGTGTGACTGAACTTAATCCAACATGATTTTAACATGAAATGTCAGACCAGGGTGTCGAAGACATGATCTCTTTGCATATGTACTTGCCTAAAATGTGAGATCTGCATCAGAGGCCCTCAGGCCAGTGGCCTTCCTGAGAAATTTCAGGTGTTGGGCAAATGGAGAAAGGGACTTTTCAGAGTGGAAGTCTCATTTGTGGAATGAACTTTCCAGATACATAAGGGAGGCATTAACACGTTTGCCACATTGGAAGCCATTAAGACCTTCTGACTTGGAGTAGAATTCTGTGGTTTTATTTTATTTTTGCTGTGTAAAAAATGTCTAACATGTTCATACTTCTAGAAGAGACATAAGGTTTCATCTGGTCAGATCAGTTCCTACTCCTGACAGAGCCTAAATCACATGAGTCTATGGCCAAACCTATGCAGGTCTGGCCGTGAATGTTGCCTGAATGGAAGATGGCTAGGAAAACCATACAGATTGTGCTTTGAGTGTTTTGGAAGAAGAACAGGAAGCAAGTTCATGAAGCATAAATACATTCACAACATAATTCATGTTTACAGAGCTAGTATGGTGTAGTGGCTAGAGTGTTGGACTGGAACTCAGGAGACCTGGGTTCTAGCCCCTGCTGTGATGGACTGTCCTCCTAACCTACTGTGCAGTGTTGTTGTGAAGAAAAAAAATCAGCCATGGGAGTATGTAACCTGCCTTGAATTCCTTGCAGAAAAAAGCAGAGTCTAAAACAGTAAATAAATAAATAACCTCTTGATAGATTATATCACTTATCTGTATTGTAACATGCCAGGAGAGGAGAACAGGCGATAAACAGATACATCATTGAGCCAGCAGTGCAGGTTGCCTGGAAAGGCTCTTTACCTGCCCAGCCCTGATGCAGCCTTGTGGAGCAGTGTCCCTGTGGTACCACTGCTTTTGTGGAGTGAGTGTACTTGTTTCTATGTAGGGAGTTAATTTTTCTCCTATAATCCAGTCATGTGCCTAGGAGAGAGGAGATGGGATCTAATGGGGGCACCTGAGAGTCTCCAGATATTGCAGTGGTTGCAGATTGATGTAGCCTTGGAAGTGGGGTAGCCAGATTATTCATGGTTTAATAATAGAAGCAGTGGCCAATCTGGGGTCCCTAACAAAGATCTGGGTGGGCGAACAGGATTAGGTGGGTTAGTTTCTGCTAGGTGTGTCTACTGGGCTGCATTGGTTCAGCATCAGGGTAGACTGGAAGGCCAGTGAGAGGGGGTTGTTGTGGTTATAGGAATTCCATCTCCCTCTGCAGACTCTGTCTTGTTCAGTAGTCTCTCTATCTGAACTGACCAAGGTGAGCTGCTGGTTCTGAGAGATTCCAGCATTGATGCTGAGAGCATCTTCTTTAGTGCAGGTCAGCACTTCATGATCTCTACAACAACCATGGAACTATTGCAGCATGTCTATTGGGACTATTACACAAATACGTGTAATAGGACATACTCTACTCTTGGTTTCTTCAGCTGGCTCTGGTGATGGTGGCCTGAATGTGTGGGATTTTGAATTATCCCCTTTAGCATAGTAAGATCCTAAATAAGATGTAGATTCATGGTGGCTTTTCTCATCTGCAAGGGTAGCAGACCTATTCAGATAGAACACCACTCATGGTTAATGAACCTGAATAGTTTCCAGAGGACGCTGGGGTGAATCATAGATATCAGAGTTGAAAGGGGACAAGAAGGCCATTGGGACCTTCCCCCTGCTCAGTCCAGAATTCCAAGTTAAGTCATCCCTCTCAGGTGGCTGCCCAGCATTATCTTGCATACCTTCAGTATGGGAGAGTCCAGTGCCCTCCTGGCTCATTGGTTGGGAGGTTTTGATTGATGTGGCTGGAGCTCCTGTGAAAACCATGTTTGGTCTGTGGAATTGCTCCTGAGCATCCTCTGCACTGTGTCATGGTGTGATGAAGTGAAATAAGAGACAGTTTGAATGGAGATAGAGTGAAAACTCCTAGGTTTTTTTCCGTACATTTTTAGGGGCAGGGAGAGTGGTAATGAGACATCATCTTGCTGCCTCTGTTGAATCTTCTGTGTGCTGTCCAGCAAACCTCTTCAAAGTCATCCAGGGCTTATTCTGTGCTGGCCCTCAGGACACTGCTGCTCTGTCAGAAGCCTGCTGTAATAGACTTGCTAGTCACTTCCAGGATCAAATCACTTGCATATGCTGGGCCTTAGGCTCCAGTTACAGTAGGTGAATCTGATGAGGTATCCAAAGCATGGCCTAGGCCCGTTTTCTTGAATGAGGTTCTCTTGATACAGCTCAAGGGTGTTGTCAAGCTGCTAGGACAGATTTGTGCAGCTGTTTGATGCTGAGTCCTTGCTTCTCTTGGTTTATAGAAAATGGCAGGGAGGAAACAGCCAGCTGGGCCAGGGAAGTACTAAATGCCTGCTTGCAAGAGGGAGTGGTCCCAGGTTGCCTGAAGCTGGCAGTGGTGAGGCTGCTCCTAAAGAAACAATTTTCCTGGACCTGGAAAATCTTAATAATTCTAGTCCTGCAGCAAATATTCCTTTCCTGGTTGGCAAGCACCTTGAGCAGGTGGTTGCCAACCAGCTCCAGATGCTCTGGATGAGACTGATTACCTGGATCCATTTCAGTCAGTGTTCAAGCCAAGTTTTGGCATGGAAGCAGGTTTAGTTGCCTTCCAAATGATGACCCAGCCACTCATACTGCATTAGTTCTTCTTGGTTGCTTGGCAGTTTTTGATAATACATCAACAGTTGTATCCTTCTGGGACAATTGTCAGAGATGAGAGTGAGTGGTACTACATTGCAGTGGTTTTATTCCTACTTGGACAGTTGACTCCAAAAGGTGGTCCTTAGGAGATGTTGCTTAGCCCTCAAGATTCTCCAGTACAGGTTCCACAAGGGATTTAAGATTTACACGAAACCACTGAGTGCCATCACCTGGAGTTTTAGAGCACACTGTCTTCTATATGGAGATGAAACCCAGCTCTGTTTCTCCTGTTCATCTTACTCAAATGAAGCTGTCGTCTGTGCTAGATCCATTTATAACGCCTTTCTCATGCATTATTTTTATTTTTATGTATTCATTGTATTTATATACTGCCTTTTTCTCTTTTTAAAGAACTCAGAGCAGCTTACATCATTCTCCTCCTGCTCTGACTATTATGTTCCTTGCACTTCTAATAGCTTCTTATATTATCTCCAGTTAAAACAGCAGTAAGACAGATTTGATATTATGTGGGAGTAATAACAAACAACATACATCTCATTGTTCCTTTCCATATTCAGCCACACTTCAGTTTTAGTTAAGTTGCAAAGGAACTCATGCAATTATTTCTGTAACAATTAAGTTCCACCTGGAAAGTAAGCTTTTTGCTTAGATAAGCTTCATGGATTACTGCTGAATTGATCAAGCATATTGTCGTGCATGGTGTTGCAGTATACTAATACCCCATCCCTAAAACTGTGTTTGGATTGTTGGTTTCTTAACTGGAACTGTTCATCTTGTGCTGACATCTCAGAAAGTTCAAAATTCTACATTTTTAGGAAATGTTATGGAGGTGAAGACATCTGTTCTATTCATCTGGTATATTCATTTGATTCAAACCTAGAAGGGAACTAAGCAGCATTATTATGCAAAAGACATTTCCAGCCAACAAAATAGATTGTGGCCCTAGACCACTAAGAAGATACATTTTCCCTAACAATTTCCACCCATTTCCAGAGAATGGGGGGACCTCTTGACATTTTTGTGTTGGGGCAGTGGGATAGTATGGCATATAGTAACTGATGCTATGAAGGTTCTTCAATTTGCATGAAAATGCTCCATGAGTGGTTCAGAAAACAGCTGGGAAAGTGTTGGGGCTGAGAATTCCTCCCTTTCCCCCTCCAACCTTCCTACCGTGCACTGACTTTGCCACAACAATTCTAGCTTGTATGTCTAAACTCTGGATTCATGTTGGTTAAGAAACTAAGAAAATAAGCCAGAATAACAGAAACGGGGAGGGAAGGAATTCCTGGCTCCATTGTTCATTTCCCAATTTATGAAACTTTTATCAGATTGTCCAAGGCATCATTCTACTGGGGTGATGGAGTTGTCCATTGAAACGCTACAGTGGCATAGAGATTGGAAAACACATTGGAGTCCCAAAATGTAATTTATAATTTTTTAATGTGACTTGTGAGCGGAGGAGGTTGTTAAATGCTTTTTGCACAGAGACCATTTGACACTATCTTTCTTGTATTCTGGTTGGCTTATTGCGTTCTCCAGCTTGCTTTTTGGAGGTACAGATAGGCTGTTTACTCAGGAAGGCTCTTTCATCCTTGCTGATGCCCAAGGCCTCTTCCTGTTCCTGTTTGAGCACACGAGAATAGTGCCTTGGGAAAGAACCACCCTCACAGCACTTCTGTACAGGAAGTTACAGAATTGTCTAAAATTAATATAATCGGGAAAGAAAAATCATGTACTAACTTTAGGTGCATTGAGTTCTTTCTACAACTTCCTTTAAAAAATACAGACTTCTGGTAGAAGTTAACTGTGACATTATACAATACTAGAGTATGCAATACATACGTAAACTAGGTCAGTGCTGAAAATTTATGATAAACCTAGAATTGCACATTAATAATAAAACAAAGGTATCTGACCTTCAGAACTAAGTGTTGTTGTAATAGATATATGATAGCTATATGAGAAATAAAACTAGAACTGTTTTAATCAGTAACTAAGCTAAAACTGTGGATTACTTAAAACACTGCAGATCACTGACACAGGTACCATCTTTGTAAACAAGTAGCATGTTAATCCTATAAATTTGAAATGAGTTGTGCATTTAAGCTATGACATGTGCGGATACATTTACCACTAATTTCCTGACTCGGTGGAACATGTGACACGTAGTGCACTCTAAAAGTGCACTCCTCTGTGTGATCTTTCTTTTCCATAATGATTGTGCCACCCCAGTAACAGAACAAAAGCTTCTTGGTTTCCAAAGATGGCTCCCTTTTTGCCCATGAAGCTGAACAATCCATCGGTCTCGCTGTTGTGGCTATTGTTGCTCACCTGGCTAGCCCAGGACTCATTGAGTTTCTTTGCACCAAGCTTTAAAATGCTGCATTCCAAACCCTTGCTCTTGGTCTAGCCTGGCCTCTCACTCTAAAAGGTCAGCATACTGAATTACATGGTATTTATAAAAACCATGCAAGGGACCCATGTGGCATTTTTGGGACAAGTCAGGGAAGGCAACAGGGACATTAAGTATGCATTTGATGAGTGAAATCTTGTAGAATTGCGTGTATGTTTGTTTTTGAAGATGGCATTTTCAAGTCAGTGCATTTTTCTGTATCGAAGGGGCACTGTATTTGGCGTGAGGATAAGGTTGTGAAATGTGCAGGTATCTTTGTGCAGTTTGTAGAGTGGACAAGAAGTGAAGCTTTGCTAAATGTAAACTTCATAGTACCTTGAACTTCTTAAGCATTGACTTTAAATACGAAGCACGCATGGAATTTAATCAGTACAGTGAAGCTATATATAGTGGTATAGTTGCCAGTGAAGCGTTGTCCAGAGAAAAAGGCCACTTTATTACTTCATGGGCTAAATGCTAAGACATTTTATGTGTGGGAAGGGGGAGGAGATAGTTTGCTTGATCTTCCACTGGAGTATAATTTAGAAGTCATATTTAGAAACTCGGCGCTGCTGCTTTTGGGAAAGCTTTAACTGCTCCACTACCCTGTTAGCTTGGTATTTCAGTCAGTGCAACAGCTGTGTACCAGATGTTATGCTTTGTGAGAAATATCATTTCCATCCGAGTATTTTGCTTTTGTGACTGACATGGATACTGTGAGAAAGGAAAGCACAGAGAGCACTAAGTGAACTGACAGCCCTCCAGATCCGCTTATTTTCAAGACTTTTATTGCCAGTACATGACATCAGTCAGAATCAGTGAGGTTACCAGGGAATAATTTGGAAAATACCTTTCAAAATGACTCCTGTTCCTTTTGCTGCCCAAGGCAGTAAGACTGCATTGCCTGAAAGGCTTGCTACTTTGACAAAAGAATTGACGGGGTTCACATGACATGATAAGCCATGGTGGCTTAGCATGTCATGCAAACCTGTGATAGGCTTTGTGGTTTTGCCTAAAAGTACAGAAAATGGGTAGACAGTGAGAGTGGAGCCTTCGTGTTCTCAGTGGCAGTGGGGTGGTGAGGTTCAGTATTTGTGAAGAAGGCTGATTCTACACTTCTTTGACCAATTGTTCAAAAGCTTCTGGTTTTGGGGGCTAAACCCATGATGAGGTTGTTACTGCCTGTATGTAGTAGGCATAGGATCCAATTCAGTGGAAAAAAATTGTGCTGCTCGATATTTTTTCTTCTGCCACCTCTACATAGATGTGTGCTTTTGCTTAGGAAGATACAGAACCAAACACTACATGGAAATAATAGAAAAGACAAAAGCCAGCATGTGTTGTTTTTCACTCAGTTTCATATTAACAGTGAACTAAAATAATGGAAAAATGAGAGAAGGTTTGGTCAACTGTTTTCTTTATGGAATTATAAATTAGAATAGACCTTGTCCTAAAATGTAGCATTACTGCCTTTTAATTAACTGCTTTTCACTGAAATAAAATTAAGTACATGGATTGTTAAGTGCTTGTTCCTAGATACCTATAAATACGCCCCATTGATTTTGAGTGGAAGTTACATAGAAATCATAACTGTTTGCAAGTTGCCAAATATAGATAGATAGATAGATAGATCGATCGATCGATCGATCGATAGATAGATAGATAGATAGATAGAATGTGATCTATACACACATTTAAATGGTGTTCTTCGCTTTATTTCCGTTTGTGAGTAGTTTGGCACTTCTTAAAGTGCCCTTTATTGTGCTTGATGTCACACTTGTTTCCTTCGACTGGCTCCAGGAAATGTAGCTTGTGTCTGTGTGTTCATTTTGTCCCACATCCTTTCATGGCAAAAATAGATAATGGGGAATGATTTCACACAGCCTGGCTCATTTGTCAGTACTCAGCAGTGTTCAGTGACTGTTTGGTGTCCATAAGAATAGACCTTGACCTAGGCTACATTACAAGAACGCATAGAAATCACTATAATCAGGCTGAGTTTATGAGTTAACCAAAACCACTTGCACTCACAAACCCAAAGGACAGCACGACACAGAATAGACTTCTGCCTGAGCAGGCTGTCTTTGGGGCCATCTCTCGCGTTCTTCAGGTGTTCCAGTATGTTACGTTAATCTTGGTAGTGTCCCTGAGATGCTATAGATGCTACTGAAATACCTAAGGTGACTTTACGGTGTGTTGTTGGAGATATAGGCCAAAACAGTTGGAAGGCACCAAATTAGATAGGGTTGGAAATCTGCTGTAACTTTTCCCATTCTGATGAATGTAAAATATTTCATTTTTTACTTTAAAATTGTTGCATTTTTCCACATAAAGTGCACAACATGGTGAAAAACAAAATAAAAACACACCTGTGCACACATAGGCAGACACTTCAATCCCCTGTGCTCAGTTTGTATTATTTTAGTTTTGGTGGCTTTTCTGGAGCTCTGGAAAGTCCATTTCCTGGCAAAATCTTCAGAGCCTTGAAGTACTGTAAAACCTCCTAGTTTGTGCTGGGATTTCTATATGGGAAGTAAATTGGGATTTTAATCTGCTTTGGATCCTGTGAAGGCTTTGCTTTGGCTTGATCTGTTTTAGAGTTCAGTTTTATGTGTAGCTTCTAAATACGTCATAAAAATATCTCATTCCTCAGCAAACAGGAATAAGACCTAGAAGGACTTGGCCCAGATCCAGAAGTTGGTTTCTTATCTCTTGACCAAACCTTTGGTTAGACCAAACTCAGTTTTGTATCTCTGGGAGGAAACATGCAAGTTAGGCTTCTCCAACTTGGTGCTCTCCATCAAGTAGTATCTTCCATCATTCCTAGTCAACAGAGGGTATCAAGTTGGGGAAAGTTGGTCTACACACTGAAGGTTTCCAGGATGCAGAACCTTTGAAACTGCAAAATGCATTCTAGATGCACCTCTGCCATTGTCAGTCTACCTCTTTTTGTAAGGTACACACTCCTGAAAATTGGCCAGGCAGTTATGGTCCTGAAGGGAATGGAACTGGAAGGAACAGACTTCATTGCTGGTCAGATGGTTAAGTTCAAGAGCAATTGGCAAATCCTGCATCTGTTACAGAGAACAAAATCACCCTCTGTGATCTTAGTCCACACTCTTGACTGTCCTCATGTCTGCTTATTCTCTTGGCAGAAGTGAAGGAGTACGAGCCACCCTTTGGTTCTAAAGTGCGGGAACATCCCTGTGTGGAAAGCATGAAGGACAATGTGCTGAGGGACAGAGGGCGGCCAGAGATTCCAAGCTCATGGCTCAACCACCAGGTAAGACCATCTGCCTCTGCTGCTTGCATGAGGCACACTCATCCTGCCCTTACCTTGCTGGGATACAACCTTGACCCCTGTGCTTTTTACTCAGCTTTGCCCTGCCAAGGTGCTGTAGTTGCATCCATACAGACTGCTTACATCTTGTTATACTTTTCCTGCAAAGGTGCACTTTGACCTTGCACTTCCAAGCATAAGAGGAACCATGGTGAATCAGACCAAAGGTCCATCTAGTCCAGCATTCTGTTCATATCTCTACAAGCAGCATACAAGTGGGATATATTAAGCATTGTCCTTTGATATTTGCTAGTGCTGGAAAGCGATTTGCCGTTTCCCAAGCGTCAGCCTCCAGATGGGGGTGCTTCTGAGCAGACATGCTTAGGATTGCGTTGTTAATATTCTTGCACAGCTTTGAAACCCAGCAGTGGTTTCTGCTGTATTAGCTCTTTCATATTCATGTTCTCCCTCTGCAGTTGCATTTTGGTAATTTACCCATTATTCATAATACTAAATTTTGAAATAGATTTATTCCTTCCCTTCTCATTCAAGTCTTAATGAGATTTGTTGCATTACTGATTCCAAGTTAATATTTAATATTTAATTTTAACTGTAATATTGGTAATTTCAATGCAGGGCAAATGAATATTATTTGTATACTTCTAATAGCATCGTACAGTTGACATTTGTCAACATAAACCATTAGATAAGTTATGTAATTAATGTGAAACTTTAAAAAAGCCCTGTTTAATATCACTTTTTGTAACTAAGGAGGAAACTATTTTCTTTCCAGATAATAGCTGAGTTTTGCCACATGATTTCTTCTGTTGAAATGAAAAGCCAAATGCTTTAACATATGATTTAATGAATTAATAAGTCTGAGCCAAAGGCAAGAAACTAAACAAGTGTGCATGTGCTTACAGCCTCTACTACATCCAGTGCCAAGATAGTGAGAATTCATTCCTATATGGATAGGACAGGCACCAACAATGGAATTCCCACTATGGCATAATTATGCTATTAAAAGCAATGGCTTGGAATCAGATCTAAGTAACACAAGCGGAGGAGGCTTACCCAGAGGGACTGCCCTATCGCCTCTTCCCAGCTTGATCCCTTTGCTGCATTGAAAAACTTTCTGGGGGGTTGGAAAGATGGGAGAACCATCCTGTGTATTGTGGGGGATTAAAAGGTAAACATTGTGACACTTTGCATGTAGCTGAAGCTTGTCTCATTTTCCTTGAATGCAGCAGCACACTTTCCCAGAGTGCACCAAGACTTACAGGTTAAACCTTCCCCCCCCCCCTACAAATTCTCCTCTCTCTAATCTGAGCCAGATTTCCCACTGTGCTCCAGGGAATTTTCTGATGTGAAAACAGGAGAGGCTTTTGGGGGTTATAGAGGCTCAGTGGCTGGAGGAGGAGAAAAGCCCCCTTGTGCAGACTTCCTCCCACTCATTCAAGGATTCAAGCCAATGTGTGCGCACACTTCCTGCGCTGTTCTCTTAGCAAATGACCAAGATGCAAAGTTCATTTTCCCAGCCATGACTTTCCGTTAGTCCTTGTTGTGACAGAGCTTAGCATTCTGAATGGCAGAACGTTATATATAGCAGTGGGCAGATTCTTAGTTCTAAATGTTCACTTCTCTTAGTTCCCTTGTTACCCCATATCTGAACAGTCCTTGACCAAAAAAATAAACAAGAAACCCCACCACACATTCAATGGAGATCCTTTCATTTGTTCCTGACCACTGCCATTACTATGCAAAGACTATCGAGACCTTGTAAAACCTCAAGGTAAAATCTGTGTATTTTCATCTCCATCACACACTCATCAGCTGCAAAAACTAATCACAATATGGACCAAGAATGATGGCGTAAGTGGAAATTCTTACTGCTAAAACCGTGGTGTAACTTGAATGTTTGCTGCAAGCTGCTCTCTGTCACCTGCCTTAATTCCCCGCATGCTCTATTTTCCTACTAAGCATTGCTAGCATTTCTTATTTCAGCATGGCAACACCATTACCACACGAACAGTGTGGTGAACTTCTAATTGACTGTTTTGTAGGGGCTGCGTTTGCAGACTGCGGCCACTTTCAGACTTTTGAAGGCCTTCATTGCTTTCTCCGCATGTTTCAGGGCATCCAGAAAGTGTGCGAGACGCTTGTCGAGTGTTGGGACCATGATCCTGAGGCCCGACTCACTGCGCAGTGCGTTGCTGAGCGCTTCAATGATTTTGAGTACCAGGACAGACTCTCAGGAAGAAGCAGTTCTGAAGAGAAAATCCCTGAGGAGGACTCTGTGAACAGTGGCAAGTAACAACCCACCAGAAGAAATGCGTCTGAAAGACAAAAGGCTGCTCTTGTGTTCTGTGTGCACAATTTTGGGACAGGAAGAGGGTCCAGAGTTCAGATGTGCTTCCTCTGGCACTGAGGATCCCACCGCTGCCTCCATGATGCAGCTCAAAGAGAAAAGAAATGATTTTATGGGGAAGGCATGATGGGCAAAGTGTCATGCAGTAGCTTTCTTGACAGTTGTCATGGAATAAGCTGCATTGGCGCTTCCTGAAAAAAGACTGAACAAACCACCAGTAATGTTTGCACTTTATCAATGCCTGTACATAACTACGGAAAAGCATTTGTGTGTGCATGTGTGCACACGTCCACAGGACAAAGCTCTGCAAACCATCTTCCAGGAAATGAACACAAGATAGAAAAATCCCACAAGGGTTTGTTAGGATGCTTGCTGTATGCTGGCAGCAGAAGTGCCTTATTCACCCCACCCAAACCATAAAAATTGTAGTAACGCACTGCTAATCCTATATAGGGCTGCACTACTTTTTGTTTTGTTTTGTTTTCTTTTTGGAAGTCGCAGGACAAAGAGGTCACAACTGATAGGGCTCGGCCCTACTGGAGCCTTGTCTAACATTTATCTATGCATCGCGTGTTCAGCTGGTTCCTGAATGTTCTAGAGTTTGTGGATTCAGGGGACCTATTAGTGTACCGCTGTTTTTCTTCTAAAGCTCATAGAATTTGGAAAGTTGTGGGTTTTTCCCTTCCTTCGTTCCTGTGCAAAGGAATGTTGATTTCTACCCTCCTCCCTTTCTTTGAACTTGCACATCAAGTTAGCAGCCTGCGTACTGAGAATCGGTTTCCCAGCCCCACACACTATGAAATCAGGCAGGGCCAATTATAATTGAAACAGATGTTTTGCATTTGCTGTGCATTCTGACAAAAAGTAGACATCTCCCTCCTGCCTTTCTGGGCTCGCTAACATCATGTCTAGTTCTTTGAACCCTTAAGTTCACACTTGATTTCATGCCCAGTGCAAAGAGGGAGGGAACCCCACGAAACCCTTCCTGAGTGTCTGGATTTCTGCGATGCTGTGGAAAAGACTTGCCCACGCTACAAGCGGGCAGCGTCTTCGGTCCCTCTGACTGTGCATCGGAGCATTGCAGCCTGCAGTCATTCAGCCTGCAGTCCTCAACTGCTGGCAAGGAGAGGACATTCCTAAACTGATCCCCACAGGCATGGCTTACATTCTTTCAGTCTTCCAAAATATTTAGATTTGGAGCTGGCCTCACAAGGAATTTTAAATGATGGCATTTCAACAGTCAGTATTTTCTTGCTAAATCATCTGTCTGCCCAACTTGTCTCCGTTTTTAAGGGTCCTGCAAAGAGGGCTTCAGGTGCTGCTTTCTATGCATTGCTGTTGTTCCAAAGAGAGACCAAGAATTTGTTACCAATTTATAGTTACACTAGTTGGCCCCAGGAACAATTCTTCTGAGTAAAAATATGTGTATCAAGTGCAATTCTTTTATTCTACAGGACACAGATATTTTTCTAGGAGCGATTCCTTTGTTTATCCAATAGGAAAAAAAGGTATATTCCCATAGGAGGTAAAGTTTATGGTGGAAATATTTATTTTTAAGAAGCTTTGTGTCTGCTTTTATATTAAAAAAATTAGAAATATTTAAGCATTAAGTGGGGCAGAAGCTCAGTAAAATGGAATCTAGTTTTAATAGCAACATGCTGTGTACTGAACTGTGGAGCTACTGGCAAGACGGGTTTATGCTGGGGTCATGTTGCTGGGCAGAGGTGGGATCCGGTGACCTCTGGTGGTGGTTTCCCAGGATAACACCCTGGAAAACAGCTGCACAGGAAGCAAGAGGAGGAGCTGTACTACAAACTGGAAAGTAGGGTGCATCTGTGCTACAAATCTAAACCACTAATTTCAAAACTGGTTTAAGTGCCAGACTTCCTTTCCAAGATTTGCAGGAAGTTTTGGCAGTTAGCTAAGAGGCAAACAAAACGTCTGGGTTAGTGTACCCGTGCTGATCAGGATCAGTGTGGGGTGTCACTCTTTCACCCACTCATCCTTTTCCTGAAATCTCCACCTGGGGGAGGGTTAAAAGAAAGAAGGTTTCAATTGCAGTCAATTGCGCCTTTTTTCTTTAATTCATTTTGGAGGGGAAAAAGCCTTCCCGCCTCCTGAAACACCTGAGTCAGGGCCTTGTGTGCTTACCCAAAAGGGGAAAGCAGAGCTACAAGTATGCATGATGAGGAGGACATTCTGTTTGGTCCCCAGATGGCTTTGCAGGAAGACTAGACAGACTTATGGAGGAAAGGGGTAAGAATAGCTCACCCTCACAGCTATCTGCTACCTCCAGGTTCAGAGGGAGTCTGGCCTGAATACCAGTGATGGAGGAGTCACAACAGGAAAATGTTGCTGCCTTCATATCACATTTGTCACCTTCTCAGAAGCATCTGCTCTGGTCACAGTGCAGAACAGGATGCAGGACTGGATGGTCCTCTGGCCTGATCCAGCAGGGCTCCACTTACATTCTGGTGAGCAAGTCAAGCTAGCTTGATGCTGGTTTAAATTTGAAGTGCATACCAGCCCTGGGTGTCCATTCTGAGAGCAGCCTGGTTCACACAATTGCATAGCTTGCTTGCAATTGTGTTGGGCTGTTTGGAGTTGCTTCTGCTCAAACAGGACATGCTGCCTAGTTTCGTACAGAATAATAAGCTGTGTCCAGGGGCTAATTAGGCAAACAGCACCCCAGTGATTGTGCAATCCGGATCACTGTGTTGTGCCTAATATTTCTCATGAGGTGGCAGAAACTTAGAGAACATCCAGTAGCTCCTGCCAACTCTTAACTTTTTTTGTACTATTTACATGTAAAGGGAAATTTTAATTCTTCCATGAAACACTTTCACTGTACAACATGTATGAAAATAGGAATGTGAACATGTATAATCTTGTTTATCAAATCTTTCAAGCACTTACCGTATTTTTGTATAAATAAAATTGTTTTAGATTAAAAGATGTCATGCTTTCTTGAAAGGTTCTGTTTATACCAGATTATATAAAGCGATTTCAAAGGGCAACCCTCAGGCTGACTTGGTAAGCCGCTGTCCTCCTCCAGCCAGAGTAAGACTTACTTTGGCAGCTTCCTCCAACCTGGGACTCTCCAGATCATAGAATCATACAGTTGGAAGAGACCTGGAAGGCAATCGAGTCCAACCCACTGCTCAGGTCACCCATCCAACCTCCAACCAGGGCTGACCCTGCTTAGCATATGGAGCAGGCTGAACACTCTTCCCTAGTGGCACCAGCTTGCAAGATGCACCTACATCTTTAGTTCTGTCTGGAATCTCCTTCATATTGGCTCTCCCAGCTATAGAATTGTGCACATGGGGCTGGAGGTGCAGAAGGACAAGTGTCATTGGCATTCTAATGGTCACACATTTTTATACCCAGTAGCCTTGGGGCTGAAACAGACATCCAGGCTGGTTTGGGGGGTATGTGCTGGGGCACCTGCCAAGGAGTCTTCCTGTGGGAGATCACTGGAATTGTTCCTTTTCTTAGGCATGGCATCCTGCTGGTTCACTTGCCTCTTGTTCTGTCCCAGATGGTAGTGGTAATGAGAAGTGGTACATGCCCCTGCCTACTTACTTATGTATTTATTTAAAGCTTTTTGATCCTGTCCTATTACAAAAAGTCTCAGGAAGGGATAGAAGCAGGCATGTGATAGTAGTGAAGAGAAATGGGATTCAGAAGAAGAGCAGCTAGTGAGAGAGGAGTCCCATGAGGGTGGCTTGCCCAAAGGCAAGACAGGGTGTTGATCTGTTTTGATGCACCAGTGGGAGCTTTCCTTGCAGAGGGTGGGGGAAGATTATCATCAGGACCACAGACCACAGCAAGGCAAGTAGAAGGAAATCCCCCACTTTCCACAGGGTAGTTGCCAATGCTATTCAGTCTTCCCCTCCCAGCTGTTATTTGGAAAGCAAACACATGGTAAATATGCTAATACAGGCTAATCCTGAATCCCTTTGGGATATTATACTCTGAATTTGGGAATAGGAGAAACCTACTGAAGCCCACAAAGACTACGTCTCAACAAGACTCAAGGCAGTGTCCAGCCACTCTGCACGAACCTTTCTTTTTTACCACTTGCCGTAAAATATGCAAGACTTGCTCATGGTGACATACAGGTATGTGAGGGGATGTCACACGGAGCTGGGTAGAGACCTGTTCTCCCCTGCAGAGGAAGGCAGGACGCGCTCCAACGGAGCAAATCTCAGGGAACCAAGGTTCCATTTAGGTGCCAGGAAGCACTTCCTGGCAGGCCTAAGGAAGACCTGGTTCCACCCTCAAAGGCCCGCTGTGACGACTTTGCCAGACATTTCAGGGAGAAAATTGCTCAGATTCGTCACGAGCTGGACACCACTAGTGAATCAGAGGTTTTTGGGGAGACACCAATGCTGCCGTCTGGTCCAGAATTATTGGATGAATTTCAGTTATTGCGGCCCGATGATGTGGACAAGGTGCTTGGACGAGTACGTCCCACCACTTGCCTATTGAACCCTTGCCCGTCTTGGTTAATAAATAATTCCAAGCACAGGATTGGGATCTGGATCTTGGAAGTGGTTAACGCTTCTCTGAGGGAGGGTCGGGTGCCTGCCCCTTTAAAGGAGGCGGTAGTCCGACCGGTCCTGAAGAAGGCGTCACTAGATCCAGAGATGGCCACTAACTATAGACCAGTGGTCAACATCCCATTTCTGGGCAAGGTGTTAGAGCGGGTGGTGGCAGGACAACTCCAAGCACTCTTGGATGAAACTGATTATCTGGACCCATTTCAGTCCAGCTTCACACCCGGGTACGGTACTGAATCTGCCTTGGTCGCCCTGTACGATGACCTGTGCAGGGAGAAGGACAGGGGGAGTGCGTCCCTGTTGGTTCTCCTGGACCTCTCAGCTGCTTTCGATACCATCGACCATGGTATCCTTCTGGATAGGCTTGCGGGATTGGGGGTCGGAGGCACTGCTTTGCAGTGGTTCCGCTCCTATCTCAATGGCCGGTTCCAGAAGGTGGTGCTGGGGGACTATGGCTCTGCAACATGGCAGCTATGCCATGGAGTACTGCAGGGATCCATTTTGTCCCCTTTGCTGTTCAACATCTACATGAAACCGCTGGGAGAGGTCATCAGGAGGTGTGGGCTGCAGAATCATCAGTACGCTGATGATACCCAGCTCTACCTCTCGTTTTCCACCAATCCAGGTGAGTCAGTGGCTGTACTGAACCGGTGCCTGGCCGAGGTAATGAGCTGGATGAGGGCCAATAAACTGAAGCTCAATCCAGACAAGACGGAGGTCCTGTTGGTTGGTGGATTGGGCTTCGGAGAGGGTAAATTGAACCTAGTCCTGAATGGGGTTGCACTCCCTCTTAGGGACAAGGTCCGCAGCCTGGGAGTGCTCCTTGACCCGAAGCTTTCACTGGAAACTCAGGTGACAGCAGTGGCGAGGAGCGCTTTCCTTCAGCTTCGGCTGATTCATCAGCTGCACCCCTACCTGGAGTATGACTGCCTGGCGACAGTGACACATGCGTTGGTGACTTCCCGCCTTGACTTCTGCAACGCGCTCTACTTGGGGCTACCCTTGAAGACGGTCCAGATACTTCAATTGGTTCAAAATAGAGCTGCCAGGCTGCTGATGGGGACTGGGTGTTATGTTCACATGACTCCAGTTCTCCGTCAGCTTCACTGGCTTCCCATTGAAGTCCGGGCCCAATTGGAGGTGTTGGTGATGACCTATAAAGCCCTAAACGGCTTGGGTCCTGGTTACCTGAAGGAGTGCTTACATCCATATATGCCCGCCCACCCCTTGAGATCTGCAGGAGAGGCCCTTCTCCGGGAACCCTCCGTGAAATAAGTCAGGAGGGTGGGTACTCAGAGGAGGGCTTTCTCTGTGGTGGCGCCTAATCTATGGAATGCGCTCCCCAGAGAGGTCCGCCTGGTGCTGAAAAACAAATAACAACGGAAAACAAATAAGACCTTTTTATTTAAGCGTCATTTTAATTGTTAATATTATTGGATTTTATCTGGCCAGGGCGACTTATTTTATATTGTTATTTTTTGTATTTTAACTTAATGTTTGCATTTTACAAACATTTTAACTTAATGTTATAACTTAATGTTTGTATTTTAACTTAATGTTGTGAGCCGCCCCGAGGCTTCGGCGAATGGGGCGGCATAGCAATGTTTTAATAAATAAATAGGACCCCGAGGGTATGGAATGGGCTTCCACAGGAGGTGGTCGAGACCCCATCGGTGAGAGTGTTCAAAGATAGGCTAGACATGCACATGGTGGGCATATCGTGAGCAGAGCCGGCTGGAGCCGGGAGTCAGACTAGATAGCCCGGGAGATCCCTTCTGACTCGCTCCGTTTCTGATTCTATGTCATACCAGCATTACACAATGTTGTTTGGATTTGCTTTTTGTCTCTCTCAAACCCACTAACAGTAATGTAAGTACTCCTTCCAAGAAGACATGTGAAGATAGATTCTTATGAACAATGCACCATTTTTAAAGGTGCATATGGAGCATTAAGACTTACTACAAAGGCTTATTGTCAAAGTAAGGTCGGGGTAGGTGACATCACAAGTTAACAAGTATTACCACAATGAACAAAGTATGTTAAATCATGGCATGGGGAATAACCCTCAAGCTCTTCCGGCCTTGCAAAGGAGTTAAAACAATATCTTTACATATTTTCCAATTAATTCACTTGTGTGCCTTTATCCTATAGATGTATTCCAAACCTTTCTGCCAGCAGGCTTTAATTAGCATGTCAGTCACCATTTTTTAATCTCTTTATTGCACAAGCACAATTGTTTGAAGGGGAAAATCCTAAACTGCTGTTAATGGGAAGGACATTCTTTCTTGCCCCATTAGTACCTTCTATTTTATTATTTTATATTAGTATAATTTTATTTCACTTGCTTTTCTAGAGGAAGTTGTGCTACTCCAAAGTACCCTTTCCCAACTTGGTGTTCTTATTCTCTGCTTTCAGGGAGCTCTAGAGGCTGTGGTGGGAAGGAAGGGTGAGGAAATCCACTTCCAGTGATTCAAGTGATCCAGCATAGATCTGATCTCAGTGAGTTCTTTTATTCCTTTTCTAAATATGATTCTTGGTAAACTAATTAGGGTGTTAATTACAAGAATGGCTTTTCTAATCATAGCTATTTCTGCCGCTGTTATAGCTGCACGCAGAACCACAAACTTTGCAAGTAATTATGTTGCAGGACCACATTAAAAGCAACGCTGAACAACCTGCATACATTTGTAATTCCATTTTTTCCATGTTCTTAGTATGAATTGTTTTAACGACTATGTTAATTGACAGCCAAAAGTAATGAAGGAAAAATTACATGCGCTGTGAGCTGCATACTATACTTTCATTAAGTTGATAAGATTTATTTCTTTTTGTAATTTTTGAATTAGTGTCATAATTAAGTATTCTAAGCTATATTTATTTCCAGTCATTGTGCATTAGCCACTGCAGATATTGGGTTAGATCTAAAGCAGATTATATCTTGCACTCACAGAAGAGTAATTTTATGTGTCATTCTAGAATAGGAACTGAGGATATTTCCAGATGGACAGCTCCCTATGCTACCAGCATAAATACAAAGACCCCTTAATGGATTTATTTTTTGACAGCAGGTCAGAAGATGGAAGATGTGATGAGAAAACATGGAAGAAGTTGTTGACTGAGCCCTTCTTAAAGTCCATGTTTGAGGCTGGGCATACAAAACCCCTCATCTGAGAAAATTGACATGCACATTTTCCCCTTTCTGGCCTACAGATCCCACTATTAATATCAGCAACTTATCACTTACTCTTGTACAAATGATTGTTGAATAGAAGTAGCAAGTATTCATAGTTCTTTGCACCTATTGTCTGTCACTTACATCCAAACTTCCCCATGCTTAGAGTATACCTATTAAAAATTGGTTAGACAATTAAGTCATGACTACCTCAAGCGCCAGTGATTTCAGAGAGCTTACTCCAATATAGCTAAATCTGGATCTAACCCAAGGGCACATGGAAGGAAGTTTCTCTCAACCTGACACCTTCTGGATGTCTTGGATGTCAATCCCCATTAGCCCCAACTGGTATGGCTGATGGTCAAGAATTTAAGTGATGACTAAACCAGGCACGAAACGAATACCTCCCACTTACAAAGAGAGCAAAGCAAGCATAGGGGGAGTGGTTCAGCTCAGTGGAACAGCTTATAAAAAACGGTTTCCTCCTCTTTGCCAACTTCTGCTACCACCTACAGTTCACTATTAATTTGCTTCCATAAATAAACTGAGTAACCCATCTTAGTATTGTCCCTGAGCCAAGTGATAGCAGGTTCCGATCCAAGTTGTCCTCACCCAGAAGACGCACACTTCTTGAAGAAGGAGAAGAGCTCAATGGTAAGTGGGGTCGCTGGTGATCTGACCAGGGTTACATGTGCATGGTTGGACTGCAGTTGCCATGCTATTGCATTGTGCACAATACTGAAACACTCATGACTTCAGGAAGGAGAGTAGGGGAACCCCACCTGGCTGGCTCCAGGATCTGCCTTCCTTTGAGAGAAGAGCTCTGTTCATGGGAAGTACCTCCCCCAGATTTCCAGAACCCCCTCCCCATGCCCACTCATCCAGTAGAGGGTCCCAACCCTTCCAGGGGGATGGAGGAGCATAGGAAGCTGGGATGTCTGCTGCTGCTGTCTCAGGTGGATGTGCCCAAATCTGGAAAACTGGATCCAAACTCTTAAGACACTACTAAATGGTGCTTTCATGTATCCACGTTTAACTAACGTGTCAGCTAGATTAATCAGGCAAAGCATTTAACTGGTGGAACTGTGAGCTCCAGACAGAGGTGGTTATTTTGAGGTTGATTTTTGTTCTGGTTAATACATTTGGGGATAAGAAATAAGTATATTATTATCTTATTCTCTTTTGTTTATGAAACTGAGTTGCCTTTTACTTCTTTCACTATAGGTATAGGTAGTGACCATTCCTTCTTCCTGCGGCCCGCAATGTGTTCTCTAATCTGTGTCAACGATTTGGGGGATCCTGACAAAAGGTTCAACTCCTAGTGTGGCCTTCGAAGCTGGAAACTCCTCCACTTATCCCAGTCAACTACTGTGGAAATATATAAAGGCAGAATCCTATGAATGCTTGACAGAAAACTCCCAGCATCCCCCATCCTTCCATAGTACATAGCTGGGGAATTCTGGGAGTGGTCTAAACACATAGAGGATTGTTCCTAAACTCAATTCCTTCTGAAATCAGTGCTTTAAAAAAGACCGATTTGTTTCTGGACAGCAAATGCACATTGCATTCTTTTTGAATTCTCTAAATTTAGTTTGCATATCAGCCTTTAACTCTCTTATTACCCTCAGCAATACCATTCCACCATGGAGTCTTCATAAATGTTCACCCAATGTTTCATAATGCATCAATTCACATATATTCAATTAGGATTATATTACATTTTTATAGCATTGCCATGAAACCTCTGTATTTTGTTCTACAAAATTGCCTTGTTTTCCCATTGTATGTTAATTTTATTCCTGCTTAATTATCTTCCAGTTAGAAAATTAGAATAGCAGGTAATTTAACAGTTGAAACAAAAGTATTCAATTTTGTATGGCCTGACTTAATTTAATTTTTTTTTAAAAAAAAATCATGTGTTTCCCTCTTCCTAAGTTACACAAAACATTTGCCAACTAGAGCAGTTTTGAGTGTATCCAACCTGCAATTAGCATGCTTAATCATGACATGGTGAATTTATGTGCAATTACATTATTTGTGCAATTACAATATTTCAGCATGAAGTAATAATATTTTAGCGCCAGATATTGGCTAACCTGCAGATGCAAATAAATTGGAGAATGGCTAATTTTTAAGAGCTTGATAACCTACCTGGATTTTCTGACATTATTAAAGGATAAGATTATTTTAGACCCACAGGGATAAGAAAGAAAGAAAGGAATTTGGCTGGCTGGAGCTGTTGTAATGCTACATGTATACTAATTCAAGAATCAAAACTGTATGCTGTAGCAACTGATTACATAAACAGCCGATGAAATAACAAAACAATAACAATTCCAGCAATCATCCCAAGGCTTGGCCAGAATGGCTTTCCCATCCAAGGAAATCAAGAGTGCACAACCTGCTTAACCCAACAGCTGCATCTGGTATTGGCTGCAAATATGGGGATCACACAAGCACCCACATAAAAACAAAGCTAATTCTTCCCATACAAACATACTCTTTCTTCTACATGTATGCATAAAGACAAACACATACCAAATCTCTTCCCATACACTCCCCTCATCATATATACATGATATACATTTCAGGTTCCACAGGGAGGTTTAAATGGCCCATTCCTGCCTGCTGAGAACTAGGGGTTGCTGGAGCTTGGGAACAGCCCCGGGGCTGCTGCCAAGGTAAAAGCCTTCTTGCTGAGGGATTTCCAAGGAGCAGTCCCAGGCCAGGTTGCTGGGGGCTTGGAGAGGTGTTGACTGATCCACCTTTGAAATTAAAAGAGCCTTTTGGCTGCGGAAACTCAGAGATGTTTGCAGCTGTTAGTATGGTGATGGTTTTAATGGTGGGGGCTGAGGGGGACCTTCGGGGGGCACAGCAGAGATGTGGGTGCTGCACTTTCTGCACTCTGATTTAAATGGAGAGGATAGGCAAGAGCTGAACAACACCCTCTCTGTAGTAGTAAATAGGGAAACAGGAATTCTGCACACTAAGTTTCCACAGATCTGTGGCTCCATGAGGCCCACCTTGGAGCTGGTTGGTTTAGGATTTTGGATAAGCTTAGCAGCAGTGAGGGTGTGCTTATCTCAGGATGTGCCCACATGCTCACCTACATCTATTATTATTATTATTACATTTTTATACTGCCCATAGCCAAAGCTCTCTAGGCAGTTGACAGCAATAATCATAGGATCATACACTCAAGTCACCCATCCCACTTCTGCCCAGGCCTGACCTTGCTTAGCTTCCAAGATTAGGCAGGATCAGGCACTTCAGGCTACATGTCTCTAAGGTTTGAAACAGGAGGGGAAAAGAGCCGCCCAGAGTTAACATGTGCTCAGTCGCGTTCTCTTTGTGTTATGCCTTTACAGCTTCGTATTTGCACACACATTGCTGGAAGAGCTGCATGCTTGTTTCTTGTGAAGAATGTACCAGAGAAGGAAGATAAAAAATTTTGAATGGTAAACTTGGGTGAGTGAATGCTTGGGGAATAAACCAGCAATGCAAGCACTGCACTAGCAAATACTGTGAGGTATCTTGTTGCAGAAGTCACCTACCCTTTGCTCAGTGGTTTGGAGCTCTGGGAGCTACCATGGTTCCTCTTGGAGAAACAAAGAGTCGTTGTAGGCCCTGCCTACTTGGCTCCAGGAGGAGACACCAGCCCTAGGGTGAAAGCCTCTCCATTAGGTCCTGAAGAATATTTACTACAAGATGTATTCTAAGAGTAATTGTCTGAATCATATACACGTATGCAGGACCTTCTATTTACATGAAGATTCATTCTCATAGCATGTCTTCTAGTGTTCTGTTTAAAGGTGGCTTTTGACGTAAGCCTTTGAAGATTGCGGACTTACTGAGCTATGATCCATATGAGCTATTTTGAGACTACCTTGGTGCACCACTAAAGGATGGATATCAACATTTAGTAGGGTTTGCTGCCACGACTGAGGATAAAGTGTTTAAGGAAGGCTTTTCCAAACACACATCTTTGGACCTGAGACAAAGTAAATGACCCACAAGCAGTTTTCAAGAGCACCAATTCTTTCCATTCTCTCAGTTAACAAAATAGGTTGCTTAGGATGCGGTGAGTATATGGAAAAGCTGGGTCTCTTATGAATTCCCTCCTTTACTAAGCCTGTGCAAGAGTTGAAGTGGTTGTTTTCAATTAAAAGATACATTAAAAGCTTAGATTTATTCAGAGGCGTTATCAATTACATTTAATTTAAATATTGTTAGGCTTAATCTTGTTTCTACAAAAAAGTACCACTACAGTACTGAAAATGGACAATTCTGTTAGGTGCCACACAGGTCACATAGAATACACAGTAGCAAATAAAATACAGATACCTAATAAATTATTACATCACACTACAAGGGCAACCTCCAAATTCATGTGAGCAAATATAGGAGAAGTCCTACATATAGAACAGGGCAATGAATAACAAAGCAGCTTGTTAAAACATACTGTAATAAAAGAAAATAAGCAGCTTCACAAAAGTATTTATCACATAGCAGTTGCTTGATTTGAATATTAGGAACAAATTTCAAATTATTACACACATATATTACTTTTAATGTAATCTCCCCAAAGCTTATACGCCGCTTAAGTGAAAATTGATAGTTTTTACATCTTTAGAAGCAAACCACTGGTTTAATCAATACAATAACCCTTCCTTAAATAGCCAAGCGGCATATAAAAATACAGCTCTAGAAGATAAATATACATACATGTGTGTGCACACACGCACACTGTTATATACGTGGACTTTCTTTAACTTGCCTCTAAACTGCTTAAGCAAAACATGCTTAAGCAATACTTTGCTGATGTTTCAGCAAGAAAGATTTAATAAGAATTGTGATTTGGAAACTATATTGTTTTTCAAACAATCGAAAAAAGATGCATAACCGGCAATATTTTGATCTCTACAAAAAATTATGGATGTTTCTGGAAAAACCTGGTAAAGGATGCTGATGCAAGTCCAATGGATCATGTAACGCTTCCTTTACAAGCACTGGTTGAAGTGCTAAACACTTCATTTAGCGCGTCAGTCAGCAAAACTCTTGTATCAGCAGAGCTCCATCTATTCTGAGCCTCCGACTTTTACCTTCACAACATATACAAAGGTACTCCTTTAATAGTCACTGGGCTAAGCTCACTTCTACTACAGCAGTGGGTTAACTTCATTAATTTCTACTAATTTATAGCAATTTGTATTAGCAGTTAATCTGACCCATTTTAACACATTGCCAACGTTCGTAAAAAACATCATTTCCTTGTTATTATTACTAGGCAGAAAAACTGTACTGCCTCTTCCCCACGTGTGCCAGACATTTGAGTATTTAGGTATGGCTTATGTGGTCTAGTACCACTACACATCAAACATTCTTAACCTAGTGCCAAGTATTGTGGAAAATCAACTACAAATCTTGCCCAAGTGAGTCGATTTCATCCAGCAGGAAATCCATGTCCTCGCGGCTCACCTGGGGGCTGATGATGACTTGGCGGAAGAAATTAACTTTGCCGCGATGGGGCTGGTACCCCAACATCATGCTGCCTTTTTTCATCATTCTCTCTTTAATGATGGGTGCAACCTGAAATAAGGAAAGAATTGCTTTCAGACTGATTTTTATTCACAAATCTATTCCATTTGCAAAAAGACATGAGTTCGGAAGACTGAGAGTCATGAATGCTTTCCCCCCTTTATTTTATGTTAATGATTTAAGTATCTTTAGGCTGTGTCTAAAGGAAGAACCTTCCCAGAATGGTGTACAATATTAAAAACATTCTTACATACAGAGCATGTACAGTAAAAAAGAAAAAAGTAAGGAAATGAACATATAATATCAAACTGTCTGTTTACGTGGTTTCCATTTACATGGTCATAATGACAACCTATAGGAAGGATCTAATGCTGAACATGTACAAGCATTAGCTTCTGTTAGTGCAATATCAATAACACTAGTGCATGTGCACCACTAGACCATTCCCGACAGATTTTTCACTGGATTTCATTGAAACCTTCACCCTGTGCTTCACTGCAACTTCCTGTTGCATCTGGGTTCCTTTCACCTGAAGGATTTCCTTTCACAAACACTCCATTCCTCAGTCAACTGACTGTCGACCAGGCTTGTCAACCGAGCTGCACATGCAGAAGAGCTGTGTCCAAACACCACACGGACTGCTTCATACTCTCAATTACAGCCTAAGCAGCATTAAAACTTATTGAAATATACTGGGCTGCATTGTTGTGTCATTGATTGATAGTAAGAATGCATATGTTGTCTTTCAAAGAAATTACCAGAGAGGTTTACATAAAAAGAGAAAAATGCAACTGAACAGTTCAGCCATCCAGTAGCTATTTATTTATTTTCTGATTAGATTTTTGTATTGCCAAGCTGCCCATCTGTAGTAGCCGCCCTCAAAGAGAAACACAGAAGAGAAAGTGTCCCTTTGGGTAGACTGGTCCTGTGCCATTTAAACCAACACTCTGAACTAGGCCCTGTAAGCTGACTAGCAACCAGTGCAAGTTAAGCTGCACTGGAGTAATATAGTCAAAATAGTCAGTTCCAATAAGCAAACTTACTATTCTATTCCACATTATCTAAAGTTTCTAAGTTCTCAGATGCACAATGCACCACAATAACCCAGGCAGGAAGTTACAGGGTATGAAACTTTAGCCAAGATGTCTCTGTCCTGGTATGGTAGTAGCTGGTGTATCAGCCAAAGCTGATAAAAGACACTTCATGCCACTGAAACCTCAGATAAAAGAGCTGGATCTATAACTACCCCTAGACTATAAACTTGCTCCTTCTAGGTATTGCAACCTTATTTAGATTACATTAAACGCTGCTTAAATGGACAACTGAACCACGTGCTAATATAACGAGCATCTTGTCTGCACTGAATCTCAGTTTCTTGGCCCTCATCCAGCCCATGTCATAGCCTCTCCTGCATGTGAAGAAAAAGAGAGGTAGAGTTCAGTGCCATCCACATACTGATGATGCTTCCCTCTGGATAACCTCTCCCAGCAATCATCAGGGACCTAACAGAATCCAGAGGGACATCACAACAGCATGTCCATGAGCCAGACCAGCAGTTACCGAGTACCTCTTTCTGGAACCAACCATCCAAGTTGTAAGACACTGCCTCTCAATCCAGATAGCTTCCCCAGGATACTACAGTTGATGAGAGTGAAAGCCACCAAGAGGTCTAGGACACTAACAGGGACACACTTGGCCAGCTTCCTCCATAAAAGAGGTTACTGGGTGACCAAGACAAGTATCTACCCTGAACCCAGGCTTACAACCTGACTGAAATGGAACTAGATAATCACTATCATCTTAGAAGTGCCTGAAGTTGGCTAGCAATGATGTGATTAATCTACTTGGCCACTAGGAGAGTGGCCACTGCTCTAAAATTATTAAGGCCATCTGGATCTGAACTTTCTTCATGAGAGGGTGAACCAGTCTCTCTTTTAAGTTCCTGGATCCAGGATCTTAGACCAGAGCTTATGACTATAATCAGCCAAGAAGGGTCAGGATGAAGAACACAGGGATCAGATGAACAGATCCAAGCACCCTGGCCTATATCATCAGGCCTCAACTGCTAAAACCTATCCCACAAAACTGGACAAGATGGTACACAGGCCACCTCTACTATCTCAGGCAAGCATAATCTATCGAGTCCCAAGTCCAAAGCATAAAATGGTGCCATATTATGGATAGCAATATACATCTTCAAAAGCTAGAGGTGCACATTAACTCAAAAGACTTACTGTGAGGCCACACTGTCATTTGGACAGACCTTAACTCTGCAATCAGTAGTACCTCAAAATCAAGACATGGCTCTATATTTTCCTGGTGCACAGCTTGCTTTGTAATTACCTTTAAAAAAGTAAATACAATAAAGCCAAGCCACCTGACTTTATTAACACGTTAAACAGAAAACCATTATATTAAAAAAACAAAAAACAAAGGGACTACAGAAGTTAGATTTTGCTTCCATCCATCTTCTAAACTGGCAATGCAACTTATCTGTGAGTCAGCAGAAACTCCTATCTAACTCTCTTTCCTTCCTTTGTTCTTTACCAGATTCACATTATAAAAGCAATAGAAATCTTATCGGTTGACATGCCATAGTGATGTGCAACTAATTTTTCTTCCCAAGACAAATGCCCTTGGTTCTCAGCCCAATGCCATCATTTGCCAGATGCCAATTTGGGTTCATTGGGACATTTCCTCTTTGGCAGCAATCTTTACCCAATTCCTCAGCTGTTTTTAAAGTTCACTTAGTTTTAAAAATGCCTGTTATCTTATCCATTTCAGCTCTTAGTCACACACAAAAGGACAGCCTTGGTTGCCCTGGTGGATTAATTATGCGGACAAATGGGTGAATATGTGATGGTGCAACCCAGTTAGTTCTGCTGGACTTCTCAATGGCTTTTGGCATCATCAGCCATGGGATCTTTCCGGATCAGCTCTCTGGGATGAAACTTAGAGGCAAAATGCAGTTTCTGAATGGTCTTCAAGGGAAGCCCCACACAGAATGCATCGCAATATTCTAGTTTAAGAGATTAGGAGAGGAGATCCAGGTTCTAGGCCCTACTCAACAACGAAGCTCACTTGATTTTCAGCCAGCCACTGAGGCGTAGCCCCCACCTGAAGCAATGTTGTGAGTGAGAAGAAGAGTAAGAGGAAAATCATGTAAGCTGCCTCAAGAGCCTTATAGAAAAAGGGGCAGGATGTAAATGTAAATAATAAATAAACCAGGCTAAACTTGGATAAGGATGCAGCTGGGCCACCTGCTGAAAGTGGTAGATGACAGCTTGAATGGAAATGCATTCCATTCAAATAACATCCATTCACAATCTGGGTGCAATTCATATGTACAGTTGCTGTACCAAACTCACAGTGCAGAAATTCAACCAAGGGTAGCAGAATCAAGTCTTCTCAGACTGTACTAGAAATCTTGGCACCAACAGCTCTTGTTTAGAAAACAAAAGTGAAGCATCCCCTCAACCTGCATTGCCAGGAGCTGACTTTGATTTTGCACTGGTTTTCTTGTTCTTGAAAAGCCATTGGCAAAGGATGCAGCCTGATCTATTAAGAAATAAAACGAAGCCTATCTTGACTTCATACCACTGTATCTATTGCAATACAGACAAGATACACTCCCATTAATAAAAACACAACCAATTATTTTTTATATAAATGTCAGAAAACAAATCAATATATTTTCCAGTATTTCACACTACACCCATTACTATTTTAGCATCGGATGGTCAAGAGGTTGTTGGGCTCAAATCAATTTCAGATCCAAAAAGTTAACATGCATTTTTTCATCTTAGTCTGTTTGGCTTCATTTGTATCAGTCTGTGCAATAAAACTAAGCTTTTATTAGCCTTTTTATGACAGATCGACTTGCTGGATATTAAAGATCACAACATGTCACAAGCGTGAATGAAAAACATGGCCACAATGAGCACCAATTCACAGACTGTGACATGTGACCAGACTTTGCCTTTTGAATTCTAATGCCAGGGAAAATATGAGAGAAAAAGGATGACTGTTAGTAAGACTAGTGTTACAAGAGATCTGGGGAGAGATTAATGGAATGTCTCAGGCCACTGTCCTATGCACACTTACTTGTAACTTTACAGTGGGGTCTAGAATCAAGAAGACACGCATAGGATCACTGTTAATAGATGAAGATGGTAATTAGCATGTCTTGATGCCTGTTTGATACATATTTGAAGAGCATGTTGCTTTTGCTGCATGACTCTTAATCTGCCTTGCAAAAAAATGTACCAGCCTGAAAATAAGTTCTACCTTCACACCTAGAAATTGGGGAGAATAATGTTTGGTTCACAGTTCAATAAGAGCTTTTTAAAAAATCACAAAAATGTCACAAACTGCTGGGGAAACAGAACAGGAAGAATTTATAATAGGAAAACTGAAAAACACCTAAAAATTATTCATGTTGATGCCCAACAACATGTATGTCTCTGTTGTAATATTTGAACTGGCATGCTGCATACTTAAAAGGAGCTGTATCTCCACAGAGACAATTGACAAATAACTACTCTTAATTATAATAAATAACACTCAAAGGGATTTTCCAGGTTCCCCAAACCTTATTCGAGAACTGCCCTAGAATATATGGCTATTTTGCATTGACTGCCTCTCTTTTGCATTAACAATATCTGCAAAATTAAGCACATGCCACTGTTCTCTGCCTCAAAAAGATGTACTTAAATGTAGCACCTGGAGTAAAGACACAAGAGCCCACTTAGTTCCTGTCTGGATTATAACTAAATTACAGTGGTCTTACTTCATTTATTTATCAGTATGATACCTCGCCCCCAAGGGAAAGAAACAGGTATGAAGTACCTATCCTTGTGCAAGTTTGCTTTACAAAAAGTATCATTAGTATAAAGATCAGCAGAGCATGGTGCAGCATCCCTAGATTTTACTCCGATAGTCAGAAGGTTATTATAGGTACATGCTCGATATAAATGCGTGCCTTCTTGAATGAAAAGTGATAACTGAAATATTACATTATGAATGTGCTTTGAATGGAATCAAAGAAGTCC